TCTTTCACCAAACTATCGAAACGATTAGGTGAATGAGGTGCAAGCCCACGCAGAGGCTCGGAGCGGTTACCGTCCAGGTTCCGCCGCGCCTGTGTCGCTCCAGGCCTATGTTCTCAAGCAGCAGTTGCACGACGTCCTCAGTAAGTGCCGAGAAGCCGGCGCTGGCGTGTTGGACAACGTAACCGACTGAGTTTTCTGTGTGAAAACTGTTCACACAGAGAGATTTAGCCTACTGCCATCCTCAACAAAGGACTCACTGACCTTCTAGTTTCAGGCTTAGGAATATGAATCCTCACGGAGGCGGGGCATTCATAAAGCCATGGGTGGCTGCTAGGGGAACTTTCAGGTGTGTCTACCCGGTTTCATTCCTGATTCATGTCTGAACAAGCGTGGCGTGGAGCCCAGGCTGGAAACAATACTCCAGGGTGGGATCAATTTTCTTCCAGGCGTGCTCCCTAGATGTTTCTGCTTTTTTCGCTAGTGTTCCTGGTATTGTAGCAGCACTGCATTCTTTTCCCACTTTCAACAAAGATCTAGTCATGCTGTCCAAGACTGAGATTCTAAATAAATATCTCAAAAAAAAAACCCAGCAAACAGCATTATTAAAAACAGGAGAAGTTAAACAACATGAGAGTCTGTGATTGAGAAAATTCACTCATTCATTCAGTGTTTACTGAGTACCTACTAAGTGCCAGGCGCTGGTGAGAATGCTCGAGATTAGTCACTGTTCTTGAAGGTTAAAGATCAGAAAGCGGGCAGTGCCCGTGTGGCCGGAACAGAATGAAAAAGGGCAACAGGTGGTTGTGGGCCGAGGGGCGGAAGGGGGAGAGTGCCCCCTCCGCCCTGCCTGGGAGGGTACTGCCAGGTTTCGGCTCTCCTCTGAGGGTCATGAGAAACCATGCCAGGCTTTGGCAGCGAAGCAGGTGAGAGGCGATGGTGAGCCGACCAGGGGAGAAGCAGCAAGAAGTGATCAGATTCTGATACACCTTGCAGGTTGAGCCAATAAACACTTCTGATGAATTGATATGAAATGTGAGCGCCAATGAGGAATCGGAGCACCCAAAA